CGGCCTTTAGGGTCTGGAAGGCTCCCGCGGCGCCTGTGGACACAACACGCGACAACATAGCCGTAACCAGAGACATAACGGTGAAGTCCACCATTATGGCGTGCGCCAGACAACAACCAAGCGTACTACTTGCCAATAACAAGATCACAGTGTATGAAGACTTACCTTTCTCGGTACTCCTCGACCGACGCAAGTTCGCGCCCTTCACCTGTATCCTGAGAGACCAGGGAATCAGGTACCGATGGGGGTCATCCCAAACCCTAGTGGTGCAGCACGGGAAACAGATCCTGGCGGCATCTGATGACCACACGAAATTTATAAAAAGCCTCCACCTGCTTACACCACCCCCTCCCGGGCAACGGAAGACAGCGACACAAGCGGCAGAAAACTCCAACCTGCAACATAAACGCAGGCCCAGACCAGCGGAGGAAACACAACACCCAGGATGGCAAGACTCCCCGTAGATCCCTACAGTCTGGAAGCTCCCCAGCAGCGATGGAGAGGCAATAGGACCATGCAGACACCCAATACAGACAGAACGGGCCCAACAAATGGACTCACCATCACTCTGCTACCCAACAATGCCAAGAGCATGGACTGCCGTACGCGGATCTTGAACTTTTCTAACGGACACCTGCAACCCATCCTGAACTGATAATGCTGAGTACAGAACAGGTGAGTGCCCAAGAGTCTCCACCTGCCGACACGTCCTCGGCCCAGGTTTACAAACATAAACTGACAGGCATTACGAATCGCCAGGGCAAATACAGCTAGTCTCCTGCTGCAATACAGTATGACTGCTATATAATTCACGGTGCCGGCCACAGCTCACCATTCACAGTATGCACTCACATAGTCTTAACACTAGCCAACCTCATTAGGAGGCTACAGGAACATAATCATGAGAGGTACAAGCCTAAAATTGGCACATAACCTTCAACCCTAGCCTTCACACCTACGGGGTGCTAGAGAGCCCACAAACTTAGCCTACCAGAAGAGTTAAACTGACGCACAACTATCAACTAAATGTTACCGGGAACACAGCTAGTTACACGATAAGGCAGCTGAAGCAAGCACGAATAGCACCCACCCTCACTCACAAAGAGTTAATATAGTTAATCAGCAACCACTCAAACCGAGGCCTAACATCATATTAGAACAGTAGAAGCTGGGCCTACCTGAGTAGAATTCTTACGTTATTTTCCTATTATAATTTACTGTTTATCATTATGGTTTATTGTGTGGAAATTATATTATCATCCTAATCTGACAACCTAATGGTCTAAATCACATAGTCATTTACTGAAACATACTCCTGCCCACACATGGACAGGACTTGTGCTATCCTGTTAACCTGTTGTACAAAATCGTGCACTTTGTTTATATATGTAGTTACGATACTTTAATAGAAAAAAAACAGTGCAGCATGCTTTAAATTCCTACAAAACTAATATCGTCTGATGACTATTACCAATGTATCTATGCATATCCATACCATTGCCAAACGCTGTATTCACTACTGCACTGTCAAAAATAAAGAATTTTAAAAAAATAATAAATAAATAAAGAGAGAAAAAAAAAAAAAGGATGGTGGTGCTTCCTGTTTTGACATATATAAATAAAGAGAGAGAAAAAAAAAAATTAAAAAGGGGGGCAAGGGGGGAGAAAGAAAACACATGTTCATTTTAATATCTGGGATTCCAAGATGGCCGTGACTTTACTTCCGGTGAGCATCTTCCGGGGTTCCAAAATGACCATGCGTCTACTTCCAGTCGACTTGCTTTCCAAAATGGCCATGCACCTACTTCCGGTCGGTGTTTTTTCGTCACATTTTTCCTAAGTAGTTGGCTCCTCCCTTCTTCGGACTCCACCTCTCCATAAATATTAGTTCAAAGAACGGCAGTCTTTTATGTAATATATATCTGGCAATATGTATATCGTCCAGATCCAATTCATCGGCTTTTCTCATTTTAGCAAAACAGCATAAAAATCCATAACTTACATTTTACAGAACATAAACTTTAAGTTCCACATATCCCCAGATAGCTTGGATCTGAGTGCATATTCTAGGTGAATAGCACTCAGGTCCCACGAACACAGTTCTCAGAAACGTCGACTGAAGTTTGACTTTCGCCGGCCGTTCGTGTGTTTGTAGCTGACTACAAGTTCCATACTATAGCAATCTGGGGTCGGTCACCCTCGCATACTTCCAGCGCACGAATGAAGTAGTATCTCCTTCATTCGTGTGTTTTTTCCACCGTATGAACGAGGATCCGAAGAGGTAGCCCCGGTGCTCGACAAAATAAGTAGCCGAAATTAGTTCCAGGGAATCCTCGCCATTTACCACTGAGCGTTCGACAATACAAAATGGTGATTGCCACGTGTTCGGTAAACGAATGCGGACCACCAGCTATTCCCCAATTAGTCTGTGGCTAACCGCAACAGTCTGGGTGGTTAATAGGCGCCACACGACCTCAGTGGGAGGTCGGTGGTTCGGTAGTTCATTCGCTTTTCTCGCCATTTTCACGAAATCCCGCTGCAATCATCCAAACAACCGAACAGGCTGTTTTATAAGGGATTTCGTTACACAGCTCCCTCTTAGTCCCATGGAACGGCATACCTGCTTAGAGTCGGCTAAGGGATATCCGGTAAAACAAGAAAAACAAACAAAATAACTACTTCTCCAGTTCAGTTTGCCGCGACAGGCCATCTGCATTAGCATTCTGCTTCCCGTGGCGATACTGCATTGTAAAATTATAGGGTTGCAGTGCCAAGCTTCATCTGAGTAGTCGGGGGTTATCGCCAGCTACTCTGTTAAGCCAAATCAAAAGGTTGTGGTCCGTCAGTACTGTGAAAGAGCGTCCATATAGGTAAGGTTGTAGTTTTTTAAGTGCCCAAACTAATGCCAGACACTCTTTTTCCACGGTGGCATAGCTGACTTCGCGTGGTAACAGTTTTCTGCTCAGATACGCCACCGGGTGATCCATGCCATCGTCTCCCACCTGGCTCAATACTGCTCCCAGTCCAAACATTGTGTGAACGAGAAACCTTTTAGTATGATCAGGTGCCGCCAACACAGGAGATGCACTTAACGCAGCCTTGAGTTTCTGGAAAGCCTCCTCACTCTCAGTGGACCAGACTAGTTGTCGGGGGAGGGACTTTTTGGTGAGGTCTGTCAGGGGTTTGGCGAGGGCACTGTATTCCGCTACAAATTTCCTGTAATAACCTGCGGTGCCCAAGAACGCCATGACCTTTGTTTTAGTCCGGGGTTGGGGCCACTGGGTGATGGCCTCAATCTTAGCTGGCTCTGGTCTCTGTTTTCCTGACCCTACTCTGTGGCCTAAATATTGGACTTCAGCCATGCCTACGTGGCATTTCTCTGGCTTCAAGGTGAGCCCTGCGTTCTGAATTCTGTTGAGCACTACTGAGATGTGCTCCAGGTGGGCTTTCCAAGTGCCACTGAAGATAGCTATATCGTCCAGGTAAGCACAAGCGAAGCCCTGAAATCCCTCTGGGAGCCGGTCTGCCATCCTTTGGAACGTAGCTGGGGCATTCTTCATCCCAAATGGCATAACCTTAAACTGGTATAGGCCAAATGGGGTGACAAATGCCGATTTTGGAATGGCCTCAGGCTCCAAGGGGATTTGCCAATATCCCTTGCACAAATCAATAGTGGTCAAATAATTCCCCCCAGCCATACAGTCTAGCAGCTCATCTACTCTGGGCATGGGGTATGCGTCGGTAACGATCCGATCATTTAGTTTACGGTAGTCCACACAGAACCTGGTGGTACTGTCTTTCTTAGGAACCAGGACTACTGGGGAAGCCCACGGGCTTTGGGACGGTTCTATGACCCCCAGTTCTAACATGTCCTGGATTTCCTTTAACATGCTTTCCCGTACTGCTTTGGGGATTCAGTAGGGCTGCTGCCGCAGGGGTAACTGGCCTGGGGTCTCCACTCTGTGGACTGCCAGGGTCGTATACCCTGGGGCTGCTGAAAACATGCCCCCAAACTCCTTTAACAGTTGGGAAGCCTGAGCTTGCTCCTCGGGACCTAATTCTGGACCCAACTGTACCTGGTCTACTCCTGTGGGTTCTTGGGGAAGCATATCCGGTAAAGGGATACCCTCACTATCTTCACACGCTGGAGCGCATACCGCGGAGACCTCCTCTGTTCTCTCGAGATATGGCTTGAGAATATTTACATGGAAGGACTGCCGGATCCTTTCATCGGAACAGTCTGCCACAATGTATGTGGTATCACTGATCCGCTCTATTACAGTGTAGGGGCCCTGCCAGGATGCTTGTAACTTATCCATTTTGATGGGTTTAAGCACTAGGACCTTTTGTCCTACTTCTAATATACGGTCTCTAGCTCCCTTGTCGTACCAGTTCTTCTGCCGTTGTTGGGCTGCCCGCAGGTTCTCCTGAACTGTTTCGGTCAGAGCCTGCAGCCAGTCCCTCAACTCTAGTACAAATGAGACTATAGATTCCCTTACTAGATCCAGGGGTCCCCGGACCCGTCTCCCGTATAATAGTTCGAACGGGAAGAATCCGGTGGACTCCTGGGGAACTTCCCTATAGGCGAAGAGCAAATGGGGAAGGAATCTTTCCCAATTCCGACAGGTCTCTGTGAATGTGATGAGCATTTGCTTAAGGGTGCCGTTAAAACGTTCACAGAGGCCATTGGTTTGGGGGTGATAGAGGGAACTTAATATGGGTTTTACCCCACAGCTCTGCCAGAGCTATTGGGTAACCACCGCTGTGACTTGGGTTCCCTGATCCGACACTATCTCCCTAGGGAATCCCACCCTAGTAAATACCTGAACCAGTGCTTCCGCTACCGTCTCTGCATGTATATTTCACAGAGCTATAGCTTTGGGGTAGCGTGTAGCGTAGTCCACCACAGTAATAATGTATTTCTTACCGGATGGACTGGGTATCCTCTTGCACACTGTCAGGTATACTCTGGCATTCATGCCGCCGTCGGAACCCACTTCCGAGTTCGCGGCGCTTAGCCCCGCCCATTTTTCTGACGCGGTCCTTCCATGATACTTAGGAAGACCGCGCCAGATTCAAAGGGCTGGATTATTCACTCAGGTGCTGCATAGAGATCAGCTGCTCTACCTTGATGCTACCAGCTCCACTTCTCGACCTCGGCTTGTAAAACGGATTTCTACCTTCTCCTCTCTCGACCTCGGCTTGTAAAACGGATTTCTACCTTCTCCTCTCTCGACCTCGGCTAGTAAACGGATTTCTACCTTCTCCACTTCTCGACCTCGGCTTGTAAAACGGAATTCTACCTTCTCCTCTCCCAGACCTCGGCTTGTAAAACGGACTTCCTCACTCTCCACTCCTAATTCTCAGCTTGTTAATTCAGGCTTCTAATTTCTCCTCCATTGGGTGAATTAACCCTTCCAGTGCCAGAACTGCCTCTAAGTTAAGTAAAACTTTTGCCAAGGAAATCAATTCATATTATTTAAGTTATACAATATTTAAACCTCACTAAACTGTCCCTTGTTATTCAATTCCTTTTATTCATAAGGGATTGCTACTAAGGCTAATTATTCCTGCAATAATCAATTTATTAAGTTGCATAATTCCTGCATGTGTATTTAAAGATACAGTCACCATTGTTTCAATTCAGTATAAAAGGAGGTGAAACCTATTATTGCTGCAATCAGAAATCTGCAGTTGAGTTCCAATTAAAGAAGTATTACAAAATAAGTATCACAGAATAATCCAGCCATTTCAATGGAACCAGCAGATATTAACTCTCAAGTTTCTGCCCTAACCAATAGAGTGGATACGATTGCTCAAGGGTTACAGGAACTGCAAATTACAAATGAGAGAATATTAACCTATGTTAGAGACATGCAAGGCCATCTTCCTCATGCCGCTCTTCAATCGGCTGGTGATCCTGCTGTCTGTAATCCAGAAAAATTTTATGGAGATAGAACAAAGTACAGAGAGTTCTTGAATTCTTGCAAACTTCTGATAGCTTTAAAACCTAGATCTTATCTCACTGAAAGATCAAAGGTTTGTTCAGTAATTTCTTTTTTAAGAGGTGAACGTATGGCATGGGCCCATTCCTTTTTAGAGAATGATGATCCCATATTAGATTCATTGGATGAATTCTTTGAAGCTATGTCTTTATTATATGAAGATCCTTATAAACAGGCTACTGCTGATTTAAACATCAGAACTCTCCACCAAAAGAACAGACCTGTTGAAGATTATATTGCAGAATTTAAAAGATGGGCTACAGAAACCCAATGGAATGACATTACTCTACGCAATCAATTCCGTCTCGGATTATCAGAAGCTGTGAAAGATGAACTCTCTCGTATTGAACTTCCTCCCACCTTAAATGCATTAATTCAACTTTCCATTAGTTTTGACAGACGTCTAAGAGAAAAAAGGGCTGAAAAAGTTCTTACTAATTCTAACTGGAGAAAACATTTTACTCCTCCAAAATTTCCTGAAAAACTTCTTCCTCAAACTGAACATATGGAAGTTGGTATAATAAGAAGTCCTCTTACTTCTGAAGAAAGAATAAGAAGGAGACAACTAAACCTATGCATGTATTGTGCTTCAAAAGAACATCTAATTCCAGAATGTCCTCTACTTAAACATTCAAAAGCTGGTAAGCCTCATTCATCTACTTCTATATTGAACGTTCTTCAAAAAAGAAAAACATCTACTTATTTTTCTATATCTCTCATATTACAGTGGGATACAAAAAGAATCGTGACTGAAGCCATTATTGATTCTGGTGCTAATGGAAGCTTCCTTGATTTTTCTTTTGTTACAAAGAATAAAATTCCTTGTGTTCGAAAAACCAACTTTGTTCCAATCAGAGTTATTGATGGTTCATTTATATCCTCAGGACCCATAAAAGATGAGACAATCCCTCTGAGAATGATTACCAACAACGTACATACCGAATTCCTGACATTTGATGTTATTAAATCTCCACTTTATCCCCTCATTCTAGGAATTAATTGGTTAAAAACCCATGATCCTCTAATTAAATGGTCTCCCTTCTCCATTTCTTTTTTTTCTGATTTTTGTAAAAAAACCTGCTTACAACATATTCCTATTCTCCAAACTACTAAAGAATCAGTTATACCTCCATTCTACTCCGACTTTGCAGATGTCTTTTGTAAAAAAGAAGCGGAAACACTTCCACCTCATCGAGTATATGATTGCACAATAGATCTAATACCCGGTGCTCCTATTCCTTACGGTCACTGTACGAGACCAATCTCGCCACATTGCATTGGAGAAGCCTGGTTGCTCGCCTGCTGCCTTTGGACTATGGCCCCCTGTTAAAAGACATCTTTTTTACCTGCAGAAAAGTTTAATTCGTGCTTTTCTGCCTGGGGTTCGGTAGATTTGTTTTAATGTGTTATACCCCAGATAGGAATCCCATGGAGCCCATTTGTATGAAACTGACTGTAAAGACTTTGGCTCCATGGCGATTAAACTGTATTCGTGTGGTCTGAGCGTCATTCACTTAATAATGTGCGCTCAGACCTGAGCTATCTGGGGATATGTGAAATGTCTGTGTTTTATGTATAAATGTGACTTTATGTATTTTAAAGTGTTTTGTGTCTTTTTGCAACCATGTGCTTAATGGAGTCTTGTGTCTGTCCTGGGAGATAATTGAATTACTTATCTCCAGGATAGAAGACTCTGAAACTGGTTTTGGGCCGGAAAGCCATGCTTCATTTAGTCACAAAGGACTTTTTACTAACTTTTGAACCCCTTGTCTGATTTGTGCCATTTTTGAATATGTTGTTCCCCTGAATGGATTGATTGTGACTATGTAATTTTATGTGAATGTGATGTATGGTTTTGGAGTTATGAAAGTTGGGTAGAAAGTATGTTTAACTGTATGTATAATTGAGTTTCCTCTCAGGATAAGGGGAGGGAATATGTGGGATGTAACTGTGATGTGATTGGTTGTTTTATACCTCCCTGTGGGCGGTCCTGTATTTGCAAGACTGTAATAAAACCAGGCTGGGTGTGCCAGCACCTCAGACCACTGCTTGACCCTCAACACGGAGCCTTGTCTCGTTCTTGGGGGGATTCACTGTATGCTGTTAGAGACTGATTGCCAGGAGTGTAAGCTGTTCGTCTGCTTTTCCTGTTCGTCTGGTAGCAGCAATTCGTATGGTTCCTGTTCGTGTATTTGGAGTGCTACCTTATTCCCTTGTATGCCGTTCGGGAGTTTGGAGCATTCACTTATTGGCGGTTCGTGTGTTTGGTGTTCTGCAGTAGCTGTGCCTGCATCTCCGAAAAGGGGGTCGATCGCCTAAACGTTTTTTTCCCCTTTTGTGCAAAACGGTCCGTTACAATTGGTGGCAAGCGGCGGGATCGTTCCTACAGCCAGAAGGACAGCTACAGGAGACACCATTCCGTGGATTTTACAATCTGAGGGCAACGCATGTCTCAGTACAGCGACCCTGACAGCAACAGAATGGAACCAGCAGTGGAGTACAGATACTCTGTACAGGAATTTGACCGTATGATGTGGTTGCGGCTGAACTTCTTCGGACCTAATCCAGCTGAGAAATCCGTGAAGTTTGTGAGGAGTCTAGTATTCAAGACTCTGCTGTACCGGGCAGAGGGTGACGGTCAGCTGCCACGGTGGGTGGACCTCCACCGGCAGCTACAGTTGCGGGACAGAGAGAGCCCAGTCTCCCCTCCCCAGCGGCAGTGTGATGTGCAGGGAATTGGGAGCCCAGTCTCCATTCCCCAGCGGCAGTGTGATATGCCGGGAATTGGGAGCCCAGTCTCCATTCCCCAGCGGCAGTGTAAAGTGCAGGGAGAGGAGAGCAGCGTCCTCCCTCCCCAGCGGCAGGCTGAGTTACAGGGGGCAGAGGTAGTTGTTCCTGCCCGCCAGCAGCAGAGTGATATGCCGGGAGGGCAGTGTGAAGTGCAGGGAGAGGAGAGCAGCGTCCTCCCTCCCCAGCGGCAGGCTGAGTTACAGGGGGCAGAGGTAGTTGTTCCTGCCCCCAGCAGCAGAGTGATATGCTGGGAAGGCAGTGTAAAGTGCAGGGAGAGGAGAGCAGCGTCCTCCCTCCCCAGCGGCAGGCTGAGCTACAGGGGGCAGAGGTAGTTGTTCCTGCCCCCCAGCAGCAGCGTGATTTTTTGGGAATTGGGAGCCCAGTCTCCATTCCCCAGCGGCCGAGTGATGTGCCGGGAATTGGGAACCCAGTCTCCATTCCCCAGCGGCAGTGTGATGTGCCGGGAATTGGGAGCCCAGTCTCTATTCCCCAGCGGCAGTGTTATTGGTTGGGAATTGGGAGCCCAGTCTCCAGTCCCCAGCGGCAGAGTATCCAGCAGGGAATAGAGAGCCCAGTCTCCCCTTCCCAGCAGCAGGACACTGTATTGGGAGCGGAGACAGTCGGTCTCCCTCCACAGAGGATGGAAGTATGTATGGGAGAGGAGCTTGCTACCACCTCTCCCCAGCGGCGGATCATTAATGGGCAGGGAATAGAGAGCTCAGTCTCCTTTCCCCAGCGGCAGAGTGTTCTATCGAGAGAGGAGCCTGTTACCCCCTCTCCCCAGCGACAGCTTAGAGTATCCAAAGGGGAGACAGTCGGTCTCCCCCTCCGGCAGCAGAGCTGTGCAACAAAGGAGACAGTCGGTCTCCAGCAGCAGAGCGGTGTATCTAAAGGGGAGACAGTGGTCTCCAGCAGCAGCCGGTGTAGTTAAAGGGGAGACAGTGGTCTCCCCCTCCAACAACCAGGCTTCAACCAGGCTACCCTCCCAGTAGCGCTGGCAACAGGGCAGAGTGCCGCTGGTCTCTGCCCATAGCAACCCACCCAGTCAGCGTACCCGTACCCAGCACAGCCGTGGTGAGGCACCTGGACATGGACAAGCTTCTCCTTACCCAGGTGTAGTAACCATTTATTGTGGGTGGGCTGTGCTGTGATTATGTTTTGTGGGTGGGCTGCTGGACTAACAAGGGCACTGACCGGCAGGAGGTCAGATACCCTGTTAGTCTGTTTGGAAAAGGGGAGAGATGTGACGAGACCAATCTCGCCACATTGCATTGGAGAAGCCTGGTTGCTCGCCTGCTGCCTTTGGACTATGGCCCCCTTTTAAAAGACATCTTTTTTTACCTGCAGAAAAGCTTCATTCGTGCTTTTCTGCCTGGGGTTCGGTAGATTTGTTGAATGTGTTATACCCCAGATAGGAATCCCATGGAGCCCATTCATATGAAACTGACTGTAAAGACTTTGGCTCCATGGCGATTAAACTGTATTTGTGTGGTCTGAGCGCCATTCACTTAATAATGTGCGCTCAGACCTGAGCTATCTGGGGATATGTGAAATGTCTGTGTTTTATGTATAAATGTGACTTTATGTATTTTAAAGTGTTTTGTGTCTTTTGCAACCATGTGCTTAATGGAGTCTTGTGTCTGTCCTGGGAGATAATTGAATTACTTATCTCCAGGATAGAAGACTC